TGACCTTTATTTTAAAAGGCAATTGCAAAGGTTCACTCTTCTTGTTTCCTATATTCTCATTCATCTAAAACCAAGTAGTTCAATATGAGATTTTCTATTGTCAAATTGAACTGAAGTTTGAGGCAATTGGAAAATTTAGCCTCAAGACCTGCCCAAACTTGATTATGGAGATCAGACAGACTTAAATCAATTGGGAAGTTGTTTTATCTTTGCTTCTTCTATGTGACATAGCTATGATCTTTGTATAAGTAATCTCATTTTTATCCCATTAAAATAAAATTGCAATCATAATAGTTAATACTAAATTCAACAAGTAATCACTATGTATTATTAGCTGGTATGGGCCATCAGCCTTTAGTGTGGTTCTATCCAATGATTTCTTAATGAGAGGTTATGTGTCTGGGTGCTTTTTATACATATCAAGAATGGGTAAAAATGGAAATGCTGGATTAAAAGAGTAGTTTTTTGTTTGTTTGTTTTTTGTTTTGTTTTGTTTTGAATAATACAAAAGTATCCCAAGTAATTTGCTAAACCTCTGACACAATCTAGTATTTATATACTCTAAAACACAATAATCTCTAGTTGGCTTAAAAATTATTTATCTTTTAATTATTATTACTTTTGAGGAGAAAGGAATGCAGTCCTTATTCATAAAGCTCCCAATGACAAGTATTCAAAGTGAATAACAAAATAAAGAATATATTTTTCTGTTGTAGGGAATTTTGAAAATATCACACCAAAATTCTTAGTTGAAACTTTGGATATTGGTCTACTGAAATATGCAAGTGTATTGTTAATATATCTTTGTGTATAAAAAACTTTATGATTAGCTACATAGTTTTAATTGATGTGCTTAACGAAAAATAAATGTATTAACTTCTTGTTCTTTTTTTAGGAGTTAACAAAGGGAATATGCTGTTTTTCTTCTCATTTTTTAATTGTTGTTTCATTTTACTTTGTTATAATAACAGTATAATAAAATTGTTTTATCAACATTTTTATATTCTTATACAGTTATAATTGTTTCAATATATGAATTCTATTTTGTCAATTAGATAAATATATCATTGATTTACTTACGCATTCCTTGAAGGAATACATTTCCCCTTTTCTTTAAGCTTACAGCAGTACATATTCATATGCATAAAACTCTAAGCTTTAGCCTACAGGTTATTCTATTATCAGGTATCCCGATTATAGGGGAACCAGAGCTATTAGGCTTATTACGCATCTACTAGGGAAGAATTTAAATAAGTTCATTATGATCTTCAATCTGTTTAAAAATTTAAATTTTGGATATCCTACATATCTAAGTTTAATACTACCATGAAGTAGATTTTAAAATGATGGATAAAGAACAGGTTATTTAATAAAGTATAACAACGAATAAGTGTTATCATTTGCCTCTTAATCAAACTTGCATACCCGTAGTTAATAAAAATGCTCTTTTTTCTAATTCATAATGCATCTTTATCTTGTCAAAGCCTTTCCAGATTTATGCTAATCTCATTGAAATATTTACCTTTACAACTTTCAACTCTTTAAGTTGCCTTTGAAAAAAAATGTAAAAAAAAAATGCATCCAATGCTTGTATTGCAACCTTCCTATCACACCCTAGTCTGTTTATTTGTCTTCCTCCACTAGAATGTAAACTCCATAGAGGAAGATACTTTTGTTTTGTTCACTAATGGATATCAAATGCCTAGTTAATTCAGTTGGCATGTAGTTGGAATAAAGTAAATAAGCTTCTGCTGACTTAATCTTGGCTTGGCCTCTGCTCTCTTTTCTTCTCTTTCTCTTTTCCCATCTGTTTATTTTACTCTGCATTGGCCTCACTATCTTAGTTCTCTCTATGGTAGTCCCAGAAACTCCAGGCTTAAAGCATCCATATACAGAGCAATTCCACAGGTATTAGAGTGTCAACTTCAACTAGCAAATTCTCAGTACACATTTATTAGGCTGGCTTGTTCACATATCCATTCCTGAGCCAATCATTATGATGGGTTGGGTGTAAGGTTAAAAAATGGAATGCTCTGGTTGTCTTGAATGCTACTCAGAACTTCGCCTGAGTAACTCATGGAAAGCATCCATTGGAAACTATTAGATATGCAGACTTTTGGGCCTCACTTAAAACTAACAAAATTATAATCTGCAATTTAACAAGATTCCCTGGTGACATGCCTTTAGCATGTGCCCACAGCTAAGCTGGAAAGGTGGGTAGGGGAATGGAGTCACTAAACCATCATATTGAAAGTGGGGAAGGGATGCTCCTAGCAGAAGGCAGAATGGGTATTGGCATGGGAAACAACGAATATCCAGTACAATATACAATATGTATTCAGCAATTATTATATACTAGGCACTGTGTTATGCCTTTTTCAGGCATTATTTAGTATTTACAACATCTAATAAGATGTTATCAGATAGGATACCTAAGGCTTAAAGAGATTAAATAATTTATTCAAAGTTTTTGGTGTGAGGCAATGGGCAGATTAATCTATAATATAATATCAAGTAGTAAGAAGTGCCTTGGAAAACAATTAGGCAGGAAAGAGGAATAGAGTCTGACTCAGAATGATGGCATGAAGGGATCAATTTAGATAGGAAGACCAAGGTGAACCTGATGAAGTGAAGTTTGAGCAGAAATTTGTATAAAGCGAAGGACAACTTGTGAAAGTTCCAGGGTAATACCATTCCAGACAGGAAAAAGGATGAGTACAAAGCCATGAAGTGGAAATGACCTTCTCATGTAAAAAAAAAAAAAAAAGGACAAAGTAAACAACAACAAAAATCCAATGTGGCTATGATGAAGTGACTATCGATGATTAATTCAGAGAGATAGCCAAGAGTCAGTTCATGAGGATATTAAGCATTGGTTAAGACGTCAGTTATTCTTAGCACAGTAGGACATCATTTGAAGCTTTAGAGCAGGGGATAGACATAATTGTTTTTTATATTTAAGATATATTGTCTAGGGAGCAGGCAATGATGAATAAGGGATAGATGGAGAAATGTAAGATGTCAGTGGGACTAATTAGGAGGCTATTACAATGCTAGTCTAGGCAAAAGATGAGAGAGGGTGGGACCAGCATGGTAGAGGGGAAGGTTGGAGGGGGCAGCAGGGCTGGGGATATATTCTAAATATAGAGCTATCAGAAATCACTAATATATTGAATATGTATGTGTGAGATAAAAGAATTACTCCTCTGTTTTGCCCTGAGCAAATGGGTGGATATTTGTGCTAGTTACTGAAATGGAGAACCTTAGAGATGGAACAAAATGGAAAATCAAGAAGACTGTTTTAGACCTGTCAAATTTGAGATGCCTCTTAGAGATCCCAGTAAAATTCTTGGGTATACAATTGTATAAACTACTTTAGAGAGGTTTAGAGCTAAGAGTTTGGAAAATAAGTCAGATGGCATTTTTAAGCCGTGGATCTAAATAATCTAATTCAGGTTCTACTTCATAGTCACTCATCTCTTTATATGATTTTGAAGACTATCATATAGGTGATTTCAGTTGCCGTAGCACTTAACACAAAGAGATTGTCTTTTAGTGATCTGTTTTGTAAATGTTTTCAAGCCTTAAACTCCAGAATGGAAGTTCTAGACAAAATTATTTTGATAGCAAATATTTATCTGTTCAAAATGCCCAAAGACGTGGTTGTTTTCTATCTTAACACCAGCTAGAAAAGTCAATATTTTCTTAGAAGGAAATGGTTTGGCCTGTAAATATCAGCAGAATGCTTTCCAGAACACTAAGGCATTTCTTTTTGTAAAACAAAAAAATCTGAAGAGATGGCAGACGAAGGGGAAAGCCAGAAGGTGACAGGCTCCAAGAGTGTTGCTGCTTTTGAGGCTAAAAAACAAATAATGGTATTAGTTGCAGACATTTAGGTTGTCTAAACAATTGTTTATTGTTTTGTAGAATGATTGATGGGCTTTGCTGCTTGGTTGGAATAGAATATAGTAAATACTGGGCCATTTATTCTACCCTGAGTCAGACTCTATTCCTCTTTCCTGCCTAATTGTTTTCCAAGGCACTTCTTACTACTTGATATTATATTATAGATTAATCTGCCCATTGCCTCACACCAAAAACTTTGAATAAATTATTTAATCTCTTTAAGCCTTAGGTATCCTATCTGATAACATCTTATTAGATGTTGTAAATACAGAAATAATTGCAATCTCATAATAATTATTTAGTCATTGTGGTCAAAGGTCACGACATATTTTTATATAAAAGTTAGTGGTATTATTGTTTTTATTTCTCAACTAGAAAGCATTTTCTTATGATCTTCAATGTAAATATTAATTTTATATATTCTGTTTTGATATGAAGTAAAGCTAAACAATTTTAATATACACCTGTGAGTATATTCCATTTGTTTATTAGTTTCTATATGCTTATTTATTTACTACCTTATCCAAGTAGCTTATATTAACTCATAAAATAAAATAAGGAAAAAATCAATAAAGAAAAAATCAGGTCTATGATAAGCCTAGATAGAATAAACATTCAAGAAGAAGAAGAAGGAAAAATTAGAACATGTAAGTGCCGTACATTGTTAAGCATCATATTTATACAGTAAATTTCTCATGAAATCTGCAGGTGGTGAATAAATGGCACTGTAGGGAAAATATGAACATTTACAAAGGCATTGGAGCTATTGAAATTTTTATTAAAGAAAAAACACCTCAGTTAAGTTTTGATTATGAGATGCTAAATTAATAGCAATTAGTTGATTAATTATTCAATCTAAGAAGTACAAGTACTTGGTGATAAATATTTGCATTTGAAAAGTCATAACCAATGGAAAAACTATTTTTTATGTCAATTTAATGTACTAATTGGATGTTAGTAAGAACAGCTGCATATGCAATTGAATTTGATGGAATTATAATTACAGAGAAAAGACTGATCAAAATTAAACAGAGTGAAACGGTGCTAAAACCAAAATAGCACAAACTGATTTGTGTTTTTCTGAAAAATTCCAGGTGTTGTCAAAGTGGATTATGGAGATGTGTCAGTCAGAAAAACACTGAGAGAAAATCTGAAGTGTAAGCCCTTTTCTTGGTACCTTGAAAACATCTATCCGGACTCCCAGATCCCAAGACGTTATTACTCACTTGGTGAGGTATGAATTATTTATTTTGGTTGAGTTATAAATGTATTTTGAAAATAGAGCAATATCTAAGGAGCTCAATCTTTTTTATGTTATGGATGAAATGCTTTAAGGGTATTTAGATCTGTTTTAAATGACTTCTTATATATTACCAGGACCATAAAGATCTTTACCATTGGGATTTGTAAAAGTATGGGGATAGTTTAAGACTGAATAAATAATATTTTCTTGTTTCTTTATCAATGGCTCCAAAACTTTTTGATCCTATGGAACTTATATTCCTCTCTAAAAATTTTTAATTTAATTTTTATATTAAATTTATTGGGTTGACATTGGTTAATAAGAGTACATAGGTTTCAAGTGGATCTTACACCCTTAAAATTTATGGTAAACTGCAAAGATCTTTTGTTGATGTGGTTTATAACAATATTTACTGTATTGAAACTAAAACTGATAACCTTAAGACCTATTCATTAATTCACTAAAAAATTTGTTATATGTTAATATATATAAGTAACATTTTTGAAAATAATATATATTTTCCAAAGTAAAAATCAAATGGTAAGAAGATTAGCAATATATATAGTTTTATATGTTGCATTAATGTCTGGCCTAATAGAAGGTATTCTTAATCTCTGTTTCGCTATTCAATCTACTGTAATATCACACACCATGTAGTCTCCGGAAGACTCCTTGTACATTCTGAGAAGTGACAGTGAAAACTGCAAGTAATACCTTAGTATTATTATTAAAATCCTATTGACTGCCCTAACTGGTTTGGCTCAGTAGATAGAGCTTCGGCCTACGGACTTGAGGGTCCGGGTTCGATTCTAGCCAAGGGCATGTACCTTGGTTTCGGGCACATCCCCGGTGGGGTGTGTGCAGGAGGTAGCTGATTGATGTTTCTCTCTCATTGATGTTTCTAGCTCTCTATCCCTCTCCCTTTCTCTATGTAAAAAAATCAATAAAATCTATAAGAAAATAAATAAATAAAATAAAATTGTATTGACTTTGTGGGCCAACTGAGAACCGTTCTTTTTCAAAATATATATTATCTTTGCAAATACACAATTGCCTTTATCATAACTATACAAACACATATTCATAATATATATTCAATTGTTCAAAGTAAGAATTATTTCTTTTTGAATTATATCTTCCTTACTGGTAATTTCCACCTAATGGGTATTAGATTTGGGAATAAAAACTAATTTAATATTGGTTGTAACTAAAGCATTTTAACAGTAATCATGTAATGCATTTGGGAAAGAATTATTAATTTTGTGCTTCAGTTGAAATTGGCATTTTTACAGGTCATATTAGGATATCTGAAAATTTATAGAATTTGAGCTAATACTTTTTTGATCATTTGCAAAAAAAAAAATCTGTAACTTTATCCACACTGTCACTTTAATAGACCAACATAATTTACTTATGATTAACTAGAAAATAATTAAAGAAAAAATAAGACTCAAACTGAATGGTCATGTAAATATCTCTCTATAGAATTTTTCAGTTTACAGATATTTAACCTTAATCTGAATAACGTAGTGCAAAGATTTATATGTAATAACACTGAATGTACCACTTTAGTCATTTATTAGTCCTGTGCCTCAGGGTTTTATTCACTTATTTTGTTTGTTTTTATGGGAGGGGGTTGTTGTTGCCATTGTTTTTGAATCCTATATAATAAAAGCGTACTATGCTAAGTGTACGACTGATCAATCGACCTTTTGGTTGACTGGTCAACCAGTCACTATGATGCACACTGACCACTAGGGGGCAGACACTCTGACCGGTAGGTTAGCTTGCTGCTGAGGTCTGGCCAATCAGGATTGGGCAAGAGGGCCAGACACACTGTGGAGCCCTCCCGCGGTCCCTCCCCGGCCGGCTAGCCCTGATCGACCTCAATTGGGACTGAGTGAGATGGTCCTGATTTCCCTGATTGCCAGCCAGGCCAAGGAACCCCACTCATGCACAAATGTGTGCACCGGGCCTCTAGTATGTAATAAATCCCATGTTAGCATCAATGTCACAGCATTTATATTCAGTACATGACATATATGACAGTGCTTTTTAAACTCAAACAGTATTTGCATGCTTGTTATTATATTTTAGTTTACTGGAGATCCCCAATAAAATAGTTAATACTCTCATTTCTTTACTGAAAAGTTTGCTTGAACAATCATGAGCCTGCCTGTACCCTTAGAAAAAGTGAGTTTTTTTTATTCTTGTGCTAGGGTATTTCTCTAATTGTAGTCAGTGGACCCAGGTGACCAGTAAACATTGATTACTTTTTCTAAAAGAGGATATAACCAGAGCATATAACATGATCGGTGTGAGTAAAGAGGACTCTTTGGAAATTCTCTAAGGCCACCAGGTAACTCCTGAGAAAGACTCGGTGCTCTGAAATAAGACCTTGATGTTTATTTCCAAGTTAAACATCCAATGTTATGCTTTTCTGCACTATATCAAGGAAATCTAATTAATTGATTTCCTGAAAAAGTAAAAATAGTGTATAGTGTGGGCAAATTTCTTTGTACAACCTACTGATTTTGAATTAGTTATCTTCTGTAATGGATCAGGTGGCCATATTTTAATTTCTAGAAATAGTTTGAAAAGCTTGGAAAGAGAGATATTGTGCCTTTCTGGATTTGTGAAACATATCCAGAAGAGGCAGTATGTCGTGTTGAAAAAATCCCGGGCCTTGGAATCAAGCAGAAGAGGGTTTAATTTCAGACCCCACAGTTTACAATTTGAGTGGCACTAGGTGTTCTCTGATACCTGTCAGCAGCATGAAGATAATCATACAGAGTTATAGTGATGATTGAAGATACAGGGAATTTAGCACTGTGCCTGGCAAGAAGTTGTAGCAGCACCAGTACAGTTATTGTAGTTATTATCGATACCATTTATTGATTTCTTACTATGTCAAACATTATTCTAGATGCTTTATTTCAATTATATCATTTAAAAATCACAACTCATGACTAGGGTTTTGTTATTATCTTCCATTTAATATGAAAACTGACATAGAAAAAGTATGTGATTGACCTATGGGTCATAGAACTAGCTAGCTGTTGAAGTCAGATTCAAATACATGAATTTAGTCTGACACTAAAGCTCACGTTTCTTATAACTAGAAGGAGAAAATAGATTACATTATTATATTTTATGTGTTCAAACTGCTTTTATTAAATAAGGGCTTAAGCTGGAACCAGTATTATATACTAAGGATGTAAAGTCAAATAAGGAAATACCTTATTCTTAAGCTATTCTACTGGGTGGAGGATGGCAAAAGAGAATCAAGAAACAGTAGAAATCAAAGGTGTCCTACATCAGGTATATAGGCATGCTATGAACTGCTGTTTCAAGAATCTGGCAAATTTAAAAATCTGTAAGATATAAGTTTTGAACTTTCTGGGATATGAATGTACTATAGTTTTCCACTTTAAAACCAGCAATCCAGCAACTGTTTCCATGGAAACAAAAGGACAAATTCACTGAGTACTACTTCTCAATTCAATTTTGCATAGTCAAGTGTACACAATTTAAGATGGACATGTTGATAATGAGTTTGAGATGATGATCTGTTAATGGACAAGTTATTTACTTAAAGGTTTGTATTTCTTATTATCTATCATTAACTATTATTAAAATAATGTAAAAGCTATTGTCCTTATTTATGGAGGTACTATCAAATAGTTAGAGCCTCAAAGTGATATCACATGTCTAAGCTACTTATCAAGACAACAAAATTATGTCAATATAGTATATTCATATCTACTCAATTTCAAGTGAAATTGTCAAGATTTAACAATGCACAGTTTTCTTAAGTTTCACTGTTTCTCAAAGCCTATATATAAAGACAGTATTTATTAAAATACATTTCATTTTCAAAATTGAGCTATCAGCTGTTAAAATGTGTATACATTTTTTGGGACACCCTATATTTAATGTTGCAGTATACTGGTGACTATAACATTTTCCTGTTGATTTTTTTTAACTTTCCTAGCTATACTAGAAGATAGAGGCAAATATGGTATTCCATTTTTCCTTATAGATTGTCACCAAAATAATCATCAGTAGAATTACTGAGGTCAGATGGTTATATCTTAATTTCTTATGTTTTTATTTTACTCAGGTAACTGAAATATTACTTCACCCAGCTCATGAATTTCATGCAATTTTGAATGAGAAGTTAAAAGCTGTGCAATTGCTTTGAACTAAAACCTTTAAGTAGCTTAATGAAGCATGTGCTTTTTAGACTCAGTAAGGAGATCATAATGGGATAAGGAAGTCAAGCTCTTTGCAGCATTACATTCTCTCTTAAGTAGTCATTTAGCTTATGTAGATGAAGCATGCCAGGTCCTGATCTTGCACATATGAAGGGTAATTTAAGTTTAACATTGAAAAATGGCATTCTAACACAGTAATCTCTCACCCAAATTTTTGGCCTATGACAGGCCAGCATTTGGGGGAGGCGGGTAGTATTGTGAGCTATATGGGCCACAAGTGTACCAGAGGGAAGAAGAAAGAGGAGGGGATTTCTGGAGCCAAGTGACTTAACTCCTAGGGCTTAATATTTGCAGTTGCGTCTTTGCTTTGAGGATGTTTAGATATCTGTCTCTGCATTTTATATTACCTACTTGACCTCAGCATATCTTTTCCCTCTTATATCTTTTCACTATAACCACTAGTTAAGGCATTGGCATATATTGGTACTGTATCCTTAAATATTGTTCAAGAGCAAACTTAAGTTACTAAAAATAGAGATCTATGAAGCTGTCTGGCTGCAGGGATCCAGGGTATAATCAGTTACTGCCAAATGCAGAAGCAAAAGCACTTAGAGTTTTATCCTCTCTGTTGGTAATCAGGAGATCAATCTATTTATAGATTCACAGTCTTCTTGACCTTTTAATAGGATAACCAGTAAGAAAGCCTCATTGTAAATGGGTTACAGAAATGGGGGCATTCTCTCTGCTCATGATTATGTTTCTGAAACTCTTTGGTACCAGGGTAAACTAATTTTCATGCCAGGGTAACTGAATATGCATATGTACAGAAAGGATAAATATATTACTCTTCATTAGAGGTTAACTTTAAAGAATGTTAGGCTGGTTGACTCACCTGTGGAAAAAAATGAGTTTATTACCTGAAAAATAGTTTTAATATATTTTTATTAATTTCAGAGAGGAAGGAAGAGGGAGAGAAACTTCAATGATTGATCAGCTGCCTCCTACAAGCCCCCCACTGGGAATGGAGCCTGCAACCCAGGCATGTGCCCTGACTGGGAATTGAACCCTGACCTCATGGGTCATAGGTTGACGTTCAACCACTGAGCTGCACCGGCCAGGCCTGAAAAATACCTTTAATTCACATTGCTGACAATTAGGCTAGAACAAATTTTAATTTTATTACTCAAATATATATTGACACAAAACAGCTGCAACAAACTATATATGCAAGTTAGATATACACTGAATTCTCCCAGGACTTGTGTTGTTTGTTTTTGCTATTCACCAAAATAAATAAAATTGTTTAATTTCTTATGTTCTTTCTGGTGGAATGGGGTTAGATATCACATATTCAGAATTTTTAAATTTCACAGTCATTAATCAAGGCATTCTAAATCAAAGTCAGCTTGGATTTGTTAAGCATATAGGTTTTGCACATATCTCTCCGATTTATTCACAATTTGGCAAAGAGAAAATATACTTAAATGCCTCGTTTTAGAATTGGAGTTCTCATTGTTGCTTGCTATTAAGATCCAGCAGAGGGAGCAAGAGCTGGTGAGTAGAAACATTTAGAAAAAGGCTTGCTAACATAAAGAATGAATCCAAAGAATTTTCCAGATTTCAGAACTACGAGTGTGCTATACTTTATGCTGATAGAAGCCGTAGAACAAACTCTGTAAGGAGTTTCTAACCGATAGAGTTCTTCAGTGGTTGGTTGCCTAGATTTTTCTTAATGGCATGATCAAGCAATTGGTATTGTCAGGTACCAGTGTCAAGATCAGGATCTTTCCAGAAATTTCACTTCTTTGCTTATACAACATTCTTTGACTAAGGTCCCAGGATGTTCTTAGAAAGGTTTTGATTTTAAAAATCACACAAGAGTACGTTATCCTTTGCATCTCAAAAGATGAGATGCATGGTTTGAACTTTCTGGCATGCCAATATCTTATCATTTGCATTAAGATTTTCCTTTTAAGGATTGTCAGTATGCTCTAGTGACCATTTTTATATTTTGAAGAAAAATGTAGAAAATCCCCATAGTGTTGGGCTTAATAATTTGGAAATAATCTGAAATAAACCAATATGCCTTCAAGGTGTGCATATAATGTTTTAAAAATCTGGATATCACAGGCCTAGTGACATAAACTTTTCAGATATTACCTGTATCCCTAAGATATGTTCCTCCAATTTTTTTAAAGATGGGTATTGATACCCCTGTTCCCTGATACTCTGTGCCCCATCCTGTTTGTATCTAATGTCATCCTGGCCATTGCCAGAAATCATTTACATGACCTCAGCCCAAGGCACTCAACATGAAAGAAAATCTTATTTTTAATCTTCTTAACACGGTCCTTGATCTGATCCTTGCCAGTTTTCATCTGTCTTGTTCCATGTGCCTTCACCATTGTCTGGATTGCCTGTTGTTACCTTTATTTCTGGTCAACTGGAACTCAATCCTCCCTTGCTCCTCTCAGGCCTCTTTTCTGATGAATTCTGCCTGCCTCTCTGGATGTCAGGGTTGGGCAGCTCCCAAACTCATAACTTTCAACTCTTTATTTGGGCAAATTACTTAACTTCACTGTATCTTGATGCTTTCATTTGTAATATAGGGGTAATAGGTTGGTTATAAATATTAAATTAGCTATTATACAGAAGTGCTTAGAATAGCACATGGAACATGCAGTTACATAATTGCTCATTATTATTGCTGATGGATGGTATTGATGGGGGTGGTGGTAGTGGTCTCTCCTGTCTCATTCTGACAGCTGCCCTAAGCCACTGACTTCTGTCTATTCCCAGTCTCCTAGATCCCACGTCCAGCCGGCCTCACCAGACTTGAGTCAAGTTCCTATATTGTATCCTCTGAGCATCTGCTACATTCCAAGGGACAATACTACTTGTCCAGAACAAACCACTCTGTAGAAAAGTTAGAACATGTCAAAATTGTAACAGGCTTCTTTTCTTGCAGTCCCCAAAATGAGTCTATTCTGGAATTCTGAAAAAATAGTGGCAGCAGTGACATGGTGTCTGAATGTCCTTGAATTCCCCCATGAAAATAGAAGGAGCATAGAGGAGAGAAAAAATCAAAAATTGATGACAATGTTGACAACAAAATTAGGTGGCAAGGTATTCTCACAAATCCCAAAATATGAGCTGTCAATTTTATGACCATATGATACTACAATCCTTGCAGTAGGAAGCCAAGGGAAGTAATGGGGTGCCTGATGGAAATGAGACCAGGAAAACACCCAAATTACTAATAAATACTCGAGAGAATTTGATTCAGGGCAATCGGATAACAGTTAAAACTGGGAAAAGTGTTTTTATACCATCCATTTATAAGTCGGTGAAAAGCCTCCTTTCTAATGTCTGAAGGGTCTGAACACTGTGCTGTGAATTCTTAAAACTCACTAGTTGAAGGTTCTTCTCAGGATAAATTTGAGGGACTAAAGCCAGTGTGTTTTTTGTGTGAATCATTTTTAACACTGAGTGCTGGTAGAAAGTAAAAGAGGTTTTCATAGCAAAGCCAATTCCTTTTCCACCCAGCAGGGATGTGTAAGGTACATGTTCCTGCTGTCCTTGACAGGAACTGTTTACACAGGAGACATTGCTAATTTGACCAGTCTCGATCTCCTGTTCCTGTACTTTTTGAAGGGTTGGAAAAAACAAAACCAACTGTCCCTTATTTTTTGAGATCTCCTAACTCTGTTCATTGTTTCTATTTTTGTCTGGACCTTCCATTTCCTTTGTCCCTATTGTCCCCACCTCCTCAATTTGGACATAATTTTGCTTCTTGGAGCTTTTATCTTTTCCCTCTAATATCCACAGTGTGTTCTGTGCTTTCTAATGGGTGGCTGCTCGGATTTCTTGATGAAAACATCCATAATCCTGCTCGAAATCTCAACCCATTAGAACAGGGTTTGACCACTCTGCTCAGTTTTTTCTAACCCTTACCGAGTGTGAATTCCAATCCCCACTGTTCTCAGTTGCCAATTGGGGCTTTAATGCAAATCATATCATTTTTATCCAATTCCAGGAGCTATTACTTGACCATGGAGTTCTGTACCATATAGAAAAGCAAAATGTGTAAACCTAATCCATCTTCTTATTCATTCACCAATATGAATAAACATGTACCTAAGCCAGAGATAACTAAGTAGACATATCCAAGTGATTTATGAGTGAACAGTAACATATGCATGTCGTAATAAGAGTCAGAGATAAGCAGAGTGGACAACTATAACAAATACATACTTGGGGTTGAGACTAAGGAAAAAATTGAAAACATTCCATATATTAGAAAGGTTTTCTTCTCCTTTTTTGCATTCATTTGTACATGATTTAGTAATTTTAGCATTTTAAAACTTAATGAATATATTTTGTATTTATATTTGGCTCAAATATGTATTAACTTTACATTACTTATGGGACTAATGCAGTGTTTGATTGTAAACCAAGAATCTTATGTTTGCAGTTAACAATTTAATCTTGCTTTTGAGGAATTTTTAATGTGAAATCACCATTTAGCCTTGTAATAGATTTTCTTAGGGTCATCTGCTTTCCGTCAAATTTGGCATTAGGAATGAAAAAAAGATGTATGAATATGTTTAAGTTACAGAAATAAACAATGTAATTAATCTCCATTAATATAGAAAAATGAAGTATCTAGTAAGGAAGCAATCTATAAAAACATATGCTTGAATATTTAACCAACTTGTTTATATTTATTTGCATATGGTACTATAGACAGTTCAAGAATAGAATAGTGGAATTTGGACACTGTCCTAATTTTAAAAGAATTTGTTGAAGAATTCCTAATCTGTAATAAGTAGATGCTCCCTTCTTTGATACTATGCTGTAAACAAGTCATTCCTCTTGAGTAGATGCCAATGACAATGCCAGTGTTGTCATATTTGTTTTAGTAGTTGTTCAGAAACTTACATGGATCTGAAAATGGAAACAAAAAAAGGAAAATACATAATTTAAAGCAATGTGTTCTTCTTAGAGAGATTTCCTTACACATGTGTATACTTTTGTTATCAATATACACTTAGATATCAGAAAGATTTCCTGACTTATCTCTATCTGACTTACGCTTTTGTGTGTGTGTTCCCTTTAGATAAGAAATGTTGAGACTAATCAATGTTTAGACAACATGGGCCGCAAGGAAAATGAAAAAGTGGGCATATTCAACTGTCATGGTATGGGAGGAAATCAGGTAAGTTCTCTTTTTTTATCAGCTTCATATTTGGGGTGGAGGGGGGAGACATATTATTGTGAAAACTATCACACTAGACCATGGCTTACAACTCAATTACAATACTTAGTTTAGCAAATCAATGGGCATTCAAATTAAGAACTAATTACACTATTTTATTGCCCCAAGTTTCTTAAGAAAGTACTACAGAATTTAATTAAAAGGGCAAAACTTTCAACTAGCCTGCAGTGATGAAAACAGCCCAATATTTCAGACTCATCTCATTTTACCTTATATGAGCAAATGAGGACAAAATGTATAATGTCAAAGCCTCAGGAATTCATAAATGAAGTGAACAAAAGCTAAAACCCTACACTTACAGATATTCTAATGTCTCTACATCATGAATTTAGTGACAAGATAGAAATTAAAACCAATATTTTTTCATCCTTATGATTATTTATTCATGTCTATAAATATATGTACAAGAATGTTTACTGAAACCTTTTTTATTATAACACAAACAGTGAAAACAACTAAATATTTACCAAGAGGGGAACATTTAATTAAATCATGATGTATTCATAGTGTAGAATACTACATAGCTAGCAAAATGACTGAGAGAAGTCTATATGTATTGCTATCAAAATTGAAAAGAGGGTAAAAAAAAAATCAGTACAATTTATTTTGAATGATCTCATTTACAAAAAAATACGTATGAACATTTTTCTCTATGTAGTATCTATAATATCTATATTTATATGGATCATTATCTACTCTATTAGATATGTATAGAAATCTATCTGGAATATAGATTACCTCTGGTAAAAAGATTGAATTGGAATAGGAAATTTTAGTTTTTATTCCACATATTTTGTATATATGCATTACTTTCATAATTAAACAAAAATGGAGAAAGATGGACTGTTGATAATAAAAGAACATCATTTTACAGCATTAGTATAGCCTGGGTAATTTACGATGTTACATAATACTTTTAAAATTTATCTTTATTGCTGAAAGTATCATAGATGTCTCCTTTATTTCCCTCAGTGACCCCCTCTACCCTGGGACCACTCCCCCAGCCTTCACTGCACATTGTCTATGTCCATGGGTTATGTATAGATGCATATAAGTTCTTTGGTTAATCTCTTTAATATTTTATCTATAAAGTGGATAAAAGATTTTCCCCATTTTTTTCCCTCTAAAGATTAGTAAAAATCTATAAAACAACTAACACTAGCCTGGCATATACTAGACATTCAATACTTATTGCCATTAATTATTACATTTACTTATTTTATTTATGTTCTTAATTATTTCTCTTTGTACTTCTATAAAAAATAGTATGTTCATTTAGTGACTAATGCCAGAGGCAAGATAAATGGACAACACTTCCTCTGATATTGTTAAGCTAATAAAATAAACTGCCTCTCCTGTAGTTCTAACAAATATATATTATGAAAAAATTAACCCATTATATAAAACCCTATTATGATTTATACCTTGGTAGAACTAAATATTTCTAATATCATTAATAATAAGAACATGCTAAATTTTAGACTTACTTGAAAAAAAGAACAGATTTCAGGATTTTGTTCTCAGAGCTACCTTCCCTGTTTTTGTTTTTTTTAATTGCTATCCTTGTTTGTTACCATGGAAGCAGCATCTATTTTTATGGTTATTTCATTTTGAATTCTTAAAAGTAGCCTCAATCCATAAAAATATTCAAATTTCTCTCTCCTGCTTTTATACAAAAGTTATAACAAATGTTAACTCTGTTTTTTCAGTATTTCTACTCAGTTACATTTCTAAAAGAAGGTTCTTCATGTCTGTTGACAATTATACCTTAACCATTTCTCTTTGCACAGGAGTTCTGGTATTTCTTTCTTTTTTTAAGCTCTGGAGATATCACTAAGAAACTAACCTTCAGTAGTTGTTGGATATATCTTTCTTAAACACTCATATATCCAGCACATTCTCCTCTCTTTATCCCCAGCACCTGGCACAAGGCTTGGGATATAGTAAGTACCTAAAAAACTAGTTAAATAAATAGATGAAAGAATGCATGGAAGTTTTTATAACAGGAATACTGGAAAAACAAGATAGCAGTGGAGTGTTATTAAATTCAACAATTGATCATCTTCAAGTGCTCTTTTAAAAATCTTAATAATAAAAGTCTTCTACCTCAAATAACAATGACAAAATTAGCCACCCTATTCCTATCTGTTCTTGAAATGCTCTTTTACTAGCAAGTAATATCATGATGATCATTAAACATTTTCAAAAGGATGAAAATAAAAAGGAATTTGATTAAAACTTGAACATATATTTTTGCATGTGAAATAAAGAACTTACAATTTACTGGTAGGAAGGGTTTTACTAGAAGTTATGGGATTGTGTTCTCTATACTTCTGAAAAGATAATGTACCTGGTAGATTCCTGAAAGCATTTCTATGTCCCCTACAATGCTAATGACTCTGATTTTGTATCTTCCTCACCAACCTATCTCCTGAGCTCTAGAATCTATTGCCAATTAATTATTAAGATCACAACTATTTTCAGATGTACTCATTTTCTTCCCTTTTACACAATCATCCAAAATTGAACCCCAACATAGACACTTCACTTTTGAATTTTAATTAGTCACCAAATCCTGATATTTCCATGAAAGTAATCCCTTGACTCCTAACCTTAAGTCCTTTCACAATGAGGGACCCTATATTTATCCTAGCCTATATTTGACCTGCGTGGTCAAAACATCTCATTATTTTCATACATCTTATAGAAGTTCATTCATATATCTCATACATGCTACATTAGAATTCAAATTTTAGTAACATATCCAATACTTCTCTCTGTTCAAAGAATAAAGTATAAATTCATTAGTTATGATATACAAAGCCCTTAATAATTGTATTCCCATCTGACTTTCCAGCATAGTCTTCCTAATAATCCCTTGTATTCTAAACATATGTCTTATAATTTTCCATTCCCTGGATGCTCTGTGCATTTTCATATCTCTACAGTTCACTGATAACTGTTCTCTCTAATTGCACTATTGACCACATACTGCTCCACTCACAAACTTAAAACATACTCACTGTTTAAAACCTAAATAAATTTGCTTTTTTTAAAAACTTCCTATTAGCTAGTAACTTCTTAACCTAAACAGGATGCATTATTAATGGGCAAATTATAATTTATTTAATCAGCCCATTATTGTTTAATACAAAGTGTTATTTGTGAACTTTGTTATAGACAAGGCTCATCAATACTCTTGTAGCTAAAATCGGTGAGCATCCATATTAACTTCTTCAGAAAAAAAAAAAGTCCAGAAGTAAATTTGAAATAGCAGTTATTCAGCAGTATAGGTCTTTCAGTATATAGTGACAAATTGTCATTTTTAACGTTTTACCAATTTAATAGGACAAAATTGGGAGAGGGAAGCAACCCCCATACATATTGTATTCATTCCTAATAGCTAAAATAGGAAGAGACACTCAGATAGACATTTAACATACATGCCTTACCCTCTTTGATTCTCACAACAATCTAATACATGGTGTTATTACCCTAATTTTACTCATGAGTTTAATGTAAACTCTGAGAGATTAATAAAATGATTGAGGTGGTAAACCCAGTTTGACCTTAAAACCAGTTGACTACGCCAAAGTTATATTCACTGCATTTATATTGGTTCCCAACCATACTCCCCCAGGATTGTAACCACAGTGACCAAACCTAACTGGGAATTGTATTTTATTTGTTTTTCATCTTTGCCAATTTAGTATGGGAGGAACATTTTACTTTATTTTAAATTATATTTCTCACATTATCAGTGCAGTTAAGTATTTTTAAAATTGGCATTAATAATTCGTTGTGAATTTCTGAGTCATAGTTTTTGCTTATGTTTTTATTGGGGGTTGAGAGGATTCTTTTTTCTCTTATCCTAATATATAAAAGCCCTGGGTCACAAGGACCAGTAAGGATTGAGGCTCCACCAAACAGAAGTCAGTCCTGCAGTCAGCACTGGTTGCTGTGGCAACCCAGCTGACTGCTTCCGCTGGAGGCAGGTGCCCCAGCACTGACTGCTGAGGGGGCTGCAAATCAGGGCCATAAAGAGGCCTGAAGAGAGAAGCAGGGACTGATCCGTTGACTCTGTAGCAGCTTTTGATCAGCACTTGCCTCTCTCTTTCTCTCCCAGTCTGGCTAGCAGCCAGCTTCCATTTCTCTCCAGGTCTCCAGGGGGCTGCTGATCAGCCCCGCCTTTCTGATCAGGTCCCGTTGATAGGCCCAAAGACGCTGACTAGCATAGTAACTGACCAATCAGAAACAAATGTGGGTGCTGTGAAGAACCAATGGCTGCCTAAGAGGTGGAGCTTCTGACGCTGACTGGCATAGGCACCGACCAATCAGAACCAAATCTGGGTGCTGTGGGGAGCCAATGGCTGTCTAGGAGGTGGAGCTTTTGATGCTGACTGGCATAAAACTGGCCAATCATAATCAAATTGGCCAGCAGAGGAGGGCAGTTGGGCATGATCAGACAGGCAGGCAGAGGAAGTTAGGGGTAATCAGGCAGGCAGGTGAAGAGTTAGGAGCCAGCGGTCCCAGATTGCAAGAGGGATGTCCGACTGCTGGTTTAGGCCCAAACCGGCAGTCAGACATCCCCCAAGAGGTCCCCAGTTGGAGAGGGTACAGGCTGGGCTAAGGGAATCCCTCCCTCCGTGCATGAATTCCATGCACCGGGCCTCTAATCTCCTTATAAAAACACTTTATTAAATAAGATAATTACCTTCTGTCATATTGCAGATATTTTTCTGACTTGACATTTATGTTTACAGTGTATTTTCATACAGACTTTTAAACAATTTATGTATTCCAATCATTGCTTGCCTTTATGTTTTCTCTTTTTGATGTAGAAATATCATTCTTTTTAATGAGATGCTTTCAAATGACATTTACATCATCTTAAAGGAGCCAATAAAAAATTGGCAAATAGATCTTAGTCTCATTGGGCA